TTTGTTTAAAAAAAAAAAAAAGGGAAGCTCATATACTCACACCCCAGAATTTAGCCAAAGATAATTGAACCCATAGAATGCTAGAGATTTACTATCTGCATTATTTTCTTTTTCATTAATATTTCTTTATTACTGCTCAGATTAGTTTCTCTTCCACCAGTGAAAAAGTCAAAAGAAATGTGAATAATCAATGTAATATTCAGGTCCAAGGCTTATTTATAGAAGTCAACTTGGGCAACTCATTAATGTTCAGGTATACCTTTTTTTCACCACGTAGCTATAATGGTTTTCAGAGCAAATTTTGAAGACCTAGGCTCCTGGTCAGTGAAGAGCAAATATCTAGAGAAAATAAGATAGGTTTATGAGACCTGGAAAAGATGAAAAACTGACTGGCACTCCAAAGATTGGTTATATCAGCCTGCAAACATCCTCTCATTATTTTAATCTCACACTATATAAAATATTTTTGGATCTTTCACCAGCAAGATAAAAACAATTAAACTGAAGGGCTGACATGAACTGAATATTTTATTCTGGAAGCATCATCACTGACAGCTTCAGAAAAAAAACAAAAACAGAACGGATCTTTCAAAACATTTTTCCAAAGGGCAAACAATATTACCAAGAAAGAGTCAAAAATAAAAACAGCATAATAATCCACAAATATAAAAGTGTGGTTCTCCTCATTGCTCTTATAATTCTTTCAAAACATTCTTATGGGGTCGGCCCTGTGGTAGAGTAGTTAAATTCGTGCACTCCACTTTGGTGGCCTAGGGTTTCGCCGGTTCAATCCTGGGCGCATACCTAACACCACTCATCAAGCCATGCTGAGGTGACATCCCACATAGCAGAGCCAGAAGGACCTACAACTAGAAGACAACTATGTACTGGGGGGCTTTGGGAGAAGAAGGAAGAAAAAAGAAGAAGATCGGCAACAGATGTTAGCTCAGGTGCCAATCTTTAAAAAAAAAAGAGCCATTCTTACAGTTCTTATTAATTTCTGGATGTTTATATTTACTTATTTACTGGTTTGGAAGCTGTCCTCAGGCACCATGTCTTCTTCATGGGTACATTCCCCAAACTGGTAAACACAGTACTGTGCATGTAATCACTGTTCAAAAACTTTTCTTAAAATGAAAGCACAGCACGTTCTTTGGATATTTGCAAAATTTCTTCATTGTTTACAATTCCTGAAAAATCAAAGGAACGTGATCTCCAGCCAATCTGAAATTACTCTTTCCTCTACACACCTTTCTCTTTATTCCTCTGCTCCTGCTGTTTCTTCTGCCTGAAACACCCTTTCCTAAATCCTATCCATTCTTCAAGGCCTATGGCAAATAGCCCATTCTCCGTGAAGCTTTCTAATCTCCCCAGCTAGAAGTCATCTTTCCCTCAGTTGAAGTTCCATAGCACTCTACCTGAACCTTCCTCACATCCCTTAATTACACTATAGCCAATTATACTACATAAGTGACTATCTCGTTTTTTAAGTAAGAGCAAGTACACAGCTATGTCTGATAAAATATTGACCAGGTGACTACCGTAAAGCCTCTGGCTCCCATGGAGTGTAAGGCTCCTAATTCAGGATGCTCTCACACCCTATCAATGGGGATCTCTTCTCCTTGCACTTGAGCCATCCTCTGGGAAGACAAAGAATGCTCTGAAGCAACATTGTGACCCGCTGTGTGACAGCTGCAGTCACTATTTCCACAGAAGAACATCTGCAGCCTCCCTCCTGAGGCTGTGGCTCCTATCCTATGACCTTCAAAGTGAACCTAATGCCAAGTGTGGCCTATGAGAGTCCTACAATCTGAATGTTTAGTAGAATCTAAAATGTCCCTTCATGAGTCATTTCAATAAGCTTTCAAGAAGCTTATTATGGAAATTAAATGAACTAGCGCTTGTAAAGTTCTTAAATGGTTCTGGCACATAATAACAATTCAATGAATGTTAGCAATTGTGGCCCATGGTCAGAAAATGGCCAAGTAGAATCATGAATGTAAGCATGTCTGATTCCAGATCCTATGCCCCATTACTCCCATGTACTCCCACTACTCCCAGACATGTAAGCATGTCTGATTCCAGATCCTATGCCCCATTACTCTTTGGTACTTTCCTACAGAGTCAACTTCCCACCTTCCCATCTAAATGGGCTCTCAAAAACGTGTTTTTATATTAAACGTGTACTTCAGCGCAAAATTAAGTGACTGTATTACCTCTTCATGAATACACATTATAAGCCTGATCTCAGTGTCTATACCCTATTTGCTATGGACCAAATGTTTGTCTCCCCCTAAAGTTCGTATGCTGAAGGCCTAATGTGATGGTATTCATAAGTGGGGCCTTTGGGAGGTAATTAGGTCATGAGTATGGAGCCCCCATGGTGGGATTAGCATCCTTATAAGAGGAGGAGAGCTAGCCCTTTCTCTGTTTCCCCCAAGTAAGGATACAAGGACAGCCATCTGCAAGCCAGGAAGAAGGCCTTCAGCAAGACCCCAACTATACCGGCATGCAGATCTCTGACTTCTAGCCTCCAGAACTGTGAGAAACAAATGTTTGTTCTTTAAGCCACCGAGCCTATGGTATTCTGTCATAGCAGCTGGAACAAAGACACTATTAATGCCCGGTACGACTTATTATAATTATCTGAGGAAATGATGATGAACTATTGGTGTAAAGAGTTTCTCCCCTCTTGGAAAACTTAAGTGAAACACTCTGGAAAGACTTGGAGGGGCCAGCACCGTGGCCAAGTGGTTAAGTTTGCGCACTTCGCTTCAGCAGCCCAAAGTTTCACCAGTTCAGATCCTGGGCGCGGACATGGCACTGCTCATCAGGCCACACTGAGGCGGCATCCCACATGCCACAACTAGAAGGACCTGCAACTAAGATATACAACTATGTACCTGGGGGATTTGGGAAGATAAAGCAGAAAAAAAGAAAGAAAAAAAAAGATTGGCAACAGTTGTTAGCTCAGGTGCCAATCTTTAAAAAAAAAAAAAGACTTGGAAGAAAGTCGAGTCACTAAAAAATGCGGCCATTGAAGTGGATGTAAGAAAAGTATAAAAGACTAGGTGAAAAAAACAGATCATGAACTCAGATTGCTTCACTATCTTCTAGTTCCTGGCCCACTATGAAGACACCCAAAGTAGAACTCAGAGCAAGCATGACATGGAATTCTAATCAGTAGATCCATATACAGAAAAAGACTTGGCCCTATACTAAAGACTTACAAATAAATGTACCAAGATTATTTAAGCTAAAACAAAATGTTCCTTTCTCTCTCTGTCTCTGTTTCTTCCCATGTATACATAATTTTTATGACTTCAATAGTATACTATGAGTATACTAAAGAGCTGCAGGGACAAGGAGAAATGGCTTATATAGTAAAATGGAAGCACAAAGAAAAGGGTAACCAAGGCTATAGGAAACAGGGTTAGGAAAGATATAGAGAAGGGAACACGAGCTGAGCGGACAGACAGTATGGGGAAAAGGCACTGGAGACACCAGAACAATGAGAACAAAGGCACAGAGGCCCAAGTAGTATGGCTTGTTGAGAAAAATCTGAACAGAACAAGAGGTTCAAAACAGAGGCCAAATAAATAGGTAGGGTCTGGCTCTTCAACGGCCTTATAAGCCAGGATTTTGAAGGTGGACTTTGAGAGAAACATAGAGCAAACAGAGGATTTTAAGCAGTGCAGTATAACAACTGGATGTACATCCTCAAAAGATCACTGTAGAAGCAAGCGGTAAGGGTGATTTGCTGGTTTGGAGTACGTCAGACTTGAAAACAGTTGTTTCAAGAGTCCAAGCAAGAAAAGAGAGCCTGAGACTAAGTGAGAAGAAATGAAAATGAAAAACATGATGAAAGCAGAATCAACAAGATTTGGCCAGGAAGTTTTTAGCTATGGAGGTCTAAGGGCCTCGAGGAAGGAATACAGGGAAACGCTTTGGTTTGTTGCTTTGGTAACTCTGGAGATCACGAACAAATTATTCTCCCAGTTTATTTTAAAGGAGAAAAGGATGATTTGCAGAAGAATAAGTCAACTCAGGTGATTTTGAGCTTGAGGTGCATATAGGACAGAAAGTAGAAATGTCCAATAATTGGTTGGATATCCAAACCGGAACTGAGCGGATATGCAAACCGGATATCCATAACTTATGGGCTGGAGAGGGATGACCTAATACTTTATAGTATATAGTAGTATTTTATATTAGTATTTGAAGCCACGGGAGTAGACGCTGTGACTGAGGAAGCCCGGAGAAGGTGAGAAAAGGACCCGGGGCAGAAATCTGAGTGACACCCACCCACATAAGGATACTAAGGAGGACAGTCTGCAAGAGGAAAGCGCACCCAGGACAGGGGCCCGCAGAAGCTGTGAGGACTCAGGGTTTCAAGTAGAAGCAGCAGGACCATCGGGTCAGAGCGCTCTGGCAAGGCTGAAAATATCCCCCTGGACTCAGCAATTTCGAGGTTATCAGATTGCTTTGCCGAGCAGGGTTTGTTTTTTTAGGGAAGGGGAAGCCGATAGGGCACAGATACCTGATCAGGGAGCAGGCGTATCCAACACGCATTCCTTGCGGCGCCCTACAAACCCTGTAAGGTTACTGGGCCGCCTGAGCGCGAACCCTATCACACGTCAGGCAACCTTCAGGCAGGTTTCTGGTCTTTAGAACCCGGTGTGCATTTCCCCCCGCAGCTTAGAGCGCGCCCCTCCCCCACTCCAGCGACCGTCTAAGCCCTCGGACACGTGGACAAATGCCCCGGCCTCCAAAGCCCTCCCTGAGGCTCACAGGAAAATTTAAAGTACTTCATTATGTGCTCCCAAAGCTTTGTCCGTACCTTACAAGGTTTTGCATTATTTGTTGTGCTTCTGGCTCAAAACAAAGAGCGAGCCAGACAAAAAAGTTAAGGAAACGTGAGGGTCAACGAAGGAGACGCCCTCACAGGCCACTCATCAAAGCAGAGAAAACAACTACGACTCCCATAAGGCAGCGGGGCCGCGGGATTCACGACTCCCGGCATCCTCTGCGAGGCTCAAGGTCCCCTAGGTGGTAGGTGTGTCGTAACGCGGCGAAATGTCCGCTAAAGCCGTGGAGCAGTGGCCTTGCGGGATGGCAGCGCGTGAGAAGAAGGCTGAGGCCCCGGAAGATGTCGCGCGCGGCTTGGAGAACTTGCCCGTGAGCGCGTGGCCCCCGGGGGCGTGGCCAAAACCCTTCCAGGTAGGGGGCGGGGCTCAGCCGGCGCGAGACCTGCACGCAGCCCCGGGGGGCGGGGCCGGCACCAGTCTGTACGGGGCAGGGCTAGGCGGTCACGAGCGCTGCGCGCGCAGCCTGAGGGCCCAGGCTGGCGCCCTTCCAGGTAGGGGGCGAGGCTAGGTGACCCCGGGGTTCTGGGTGTACAGCTAGCCCAGGCGCGCGTATGTCTGTGGATGACTCTCATACTGTAGGTTGTCTCCAGAATTCTCCATCTTTTCACTTGCCTTGTCGCACAGCTATTTGCGCGCGCCGGTAACTCTTAAATGCACAGGTTTCGGTCTTTTTCTATTAATCTTCTGTAATGACGTTAGCAAGAGTATTTCTCTTTTCTGCGCATGGACTGGCAGTTCCCTCTAGGGCAAAACCAGAGGTGTTCTGAGGTCCCTTGGAAAGCGGCCTGAGAACCTGTCTTTTTGTTCTGGTTCTGACCACGGAACTCATTCAGGGATTGGGGCAAATCAGTTCGCCTTGCGGTCTTGGGTATCTTCTATGTAACATAAGGCATGGGGCCTATTAAGGCATCCTAGCTCTTGGAGTCAGACTTAGTTGAGGTCTTCCTAAGGCTGTGACTGAGCTCTTGGGCAATATAAACTAGCCTCAGCTAAGCCTTGAAGTTCTCCCCGGTACGATTAAAATAGTAGTACCTGTCTCCCGATTGCTTTGAGAATTACAAGTAAAATACAGTTGTTGTTTTGCTGAAAGAACTCAAATGTTCATTACTGTTATTACCTCGAAGCCCTTTCTGCTTTCTCAGCCCTCTGACCTGCGTGTTGCCTAAGGAATAAGGAATGACCAAAAAAAAACAAGGATCTTAGAGTGGAAAAAGCCCTGGACCTGGAGGTGGGAGAGCGAGGTTCAGGGCTTAGCCATCTTAGCTATGTCTCAGAGCCTGAGTTTCTTCCTCTACAAAATGAAAATAGTTAAAAATGTATAGCCCATTTCACATCCTTTATCAATATTGAATTGAACCCTAGCTGTCCTTCCTTCTTCCTAGGTTTGTTATGGGGATCAGATGAGACGATAGACTCAGTAGCAGTTCTCAAAGTGTAGAGCAGGATATTAACATCCAGAAATGGTTGTTTTTGCTCAAACTGCCTTAGGCAGTTTATGGTTAATAATACGGTTGCCTGGCACCAAATCAAACTCTGATCCCTAAAAGCTTATTCAAGACCAAACATTGCCGAATATCAAAAACACTGATATATGTTTTCTTTTTTTTTTTTAAAGATTTTATTTTTTATTTTTTTCCTTTTTCTCCCCAAAGCCCCCCGGTACATAGGTGTATATTCTTCGTTGTGGGTCCTTCTAGTTGTGCCATGTGGGACGCTGCCTCACCGTGGTTTGATGAGCAGTGCCATGTCCACACCCAGGATTCGAACCAACGAAACAGTGGGCCGCCTGCAGCGGAGAGCATGAACTTAACCAATCAGCCATGGGGCCAGCCCCTGATATATGTTTTCTTTATTCAACAAATAATTGAGTGCCTGTAATGTTCTAGGCACCATGTTAAGCCCGGCATAGAAGATAAAATGGTGACAAGATACACCTCCTGCCCTTGAGTTTGCAAGTGCCTATGGAAAGCACTTGGTTGCTATAAAAAGCCAGGGAAGCAAACTTTGTGATTGATCCTTACCTGGAGCTGATGGGCATAAGTGAAAATCAGGAGTGTAAGACTCAGTTTCACAGTGTTCTAGCTGCCTGGCTATATGCACACCTCTGGGTAGAGTTGGAGCTACAGAAAGAAGACAAGATCCCTTCCCCAAAGAGCTTATAGTCTTACCAAGAAGATAAAACATGCTTGAAACATTTAAAGGACAAGCCTAAAAGTGCCTTCAACTAGTTTGCTTCCGTGTATTCATGGAGCACAGAACCAGTCTTATAAAAGGTCAAAATAGCTTGCTTGCCCCATACCCTGCCTTCACAGGCAAATCCGCAGGTAAGAATTTAGGCATTGTAAAACTCAAGGTAAAAATAACTTTGTGTCTAGTCTGCTTTGGGGTACTGGGTGAAAAGGCAAAAAGAACATTCAAATGTTCAGATTGGGAACAAGCGTATCATAATGCCATCAGTGTTGAAGGCCAAGTAGAAAATAAACTGATTTTCTTGAGCGTAGAGTTGGAGCTAACCATTTTTCAGGTCACTGAAATCAGCTTCAAACATCCTTTTTAAGATTTCAACTTGGCCTTGACGAGAATTATCTGGCTCACAGTCTCCTAATAGCTGCTTGGAGCAAAAACAAACTCATGGGGCTAGAGGCCAAGTACAGAGATTCTTGTAGCTGGTGTTTCAAAACAACCAAAAAAGGAATGAAGATTTTCACAGCACTTCCTTAAAATTCAGAATCAAGGCCTAGGTTTTAAGCCCAGAGTTTTATGCAGTGTCATATTTTAGTTTCTGGGGCTTCGATACAGAATGTGCTTAAGAAAAGTCAGACTTCCAATCAGAAGTTATCAAGAGCTGCAGTCAGTCAATCAAAAGCTACTTCTTGAGTGCCTGCTCTGTACCTAGAACTATGGATAGGAACCCCACCCCTACCACCATGCCACACCCCAAACCTCATGATCATGTCTTTCCTGGAGACATATATTTGTTAGAAAGATAAGACCTACGTATTTTGTATAACTAGAGAGTCCTACAGTCTATGCCATTTAGATCCCAAAGTTCATGCTATTCATGTAAGTACAGGTCTAGTTGAGAGAAGGGAGAAATTGTGGATGAGAATAGCCAAGGAGGTATATTTGTTCTTCCACATGCTGTCTCCTGTTTCTATTTTGGCTTCTTGGGTAAGTTAAGTTTTATTAAAAGAAATTGTCTCTTTTAAGTTTTCTGTCAAATTTTCCCTGATTTATAGTTGCTAACCCAAAGTTTAGCAAGTCACTTCCCTAAGTCACAATGCTAATAAGAGCCTGGCTCTGTATGTGTCTCCTTTGGAACATTCCATGTTCTGCATCAAGAAGTTCTCCGCTGCTTGCCTAGTGTTGCAGGCCACAATCAGTTTTCCTGTATGGCCTCCTGCACACTGCTCCAGTCTCACCTCCCATTTGGAGACCTCATTGCTCATTGGCCATTTATTATCTTTGATTAAATTTTCCAGCCATTTCCTGCCACCATTCTCAGCTTCCACTCTGGGTGTATCAGTCAAGACTTGTTTGTTTGCAAGACACATAAATACAACACAAACTAACCCAAGTGAAAAAGGGAAAGAATTGCCTCACATAACACCAAAGGCCAAGAGTGGTGACTATAGGCGTGTCTGGATCCAAGAACTCTAATAGTGTCATCAGATTATTTCTTTCTACCACCTACACCCTTCCCTCCTCTCTGCTCCCCTTTCCTGTGTATGGCTACACACTCAGTAGGTCTTAAGGGTGTGGCAGAATTTGGGAGTGCCACATGAACACTACAGTTTAGCAACCCAAGTAGAAAGAGAATGCCTCTTCCCTAATTGCTTCAGCCAAAGTTCCAGAATTATATTTCATTGATCTGGCTTAGATCCCTGCTCACCCTGTACTCCCATCCAAACTACTGAGACGAGAGTGGGAAGGAAGAGTTGGGGTGCTATTATCAGAAGAAAAGGAATGGATGCTGGGTAGGTAAAAACATATGTCCTCTGTGGTTGCATCCCTCAAGCTTTGATCTCTCCTTGGCTTGGGGTAGGTACAAAAAACCTCAGGGTAACACCCTTTGGGGATCAGTTTGGTCCTGGGCTTTGTACCTGGAAGTAGGGTAGAGATTATGGAAAGAGTGTTACAAATGGGGAGCATTTACCCTCAGGTCAGCTGGCTCCCAATTTGTAACAAGCTTTCCATTAGCTTTCAGATACTCAAAATTTAATGGTTTGCATAGCATATCAATATTTGAATCATGTCAGTGACAGATCATACCTGAAAAGATGAATAATTACATAATCATATATTAAATTAGACCATGGTTTTTAAAAGATTATTCTTTAGGGGATGGCCCTGTGGCCGAGTGGTTAAGTTAGCACACTCCACTTTGGTGGCCCAGGGTTTCACGGGTTCAGATCCTGGGCGCCGACATGGCACCGTTCATCAGGCCATGTTGAGGTGGTGTCCCACATAGCACAGCCAGAGGCTTCACAACTAGAATATACAACTGTGTACTGGGGGGCTTTGGGGAGAAGAAGAAGAAAAGGGAAAAGATAAGAAGATTGGCAACAGATGTTAGCTCAAGTGCCAATCTTTAAAAAAAAAATAAGATTATTCTTTAGTACAGCCATTTTTCTAAGTCAAGTAAAATATCTTTCTGGAATGGTATTTTGCTAACCTTTTATGGAGGAGAAAATGGAAACATGGACCTAAAATGATTTGTGATGATTATTGGTATCAGGGTCAATGATTACACCCATGAAAGGAAAAAACAAATGTCCTCTTTAAACAGAAAATTTTATCCAGAAGTTTCTGTTATCCTTTGGGAGGTACCTGCAGCTCATTTGGGATTAGCTACCATTTGTAATCTAAATCTCTAAAGGATCTTAGATTGTGCATCAAGTTTAAATTGCAGAATTTAAAAATACATATATATCACTACGTTCTCCAAAATCTTTTTTAATTATATAAGTAAAAATAAGCAAATAAAAGGATTTTTCCAAACCTATCCACGTGCAAATAAGTTCCACAAGGTAAGAAAACTGCAGTCAGTCACACTTGATTTTAAAAGGAGTTATCTGTGTCAAAAAACTCACTTTAAAGTCTAGTGATTTCTATAGTACATTAAAAATATGTGCGCCTTTAAGACCAATCAATTTAAAAGAATTCTTCATGAAAAGTTTAACAAAAAGATAGTAAGATCTTCATTTTACAAGTACTTCTTAAAATGTCTTGATAACCATTTACATTTCAGCGATGACTTAAAAGCTGGAGATGGATTCTGTATGAGACAGCAGTCATTGAATTTGAGTGATAGAGCATCTTTTTCTAAGCCATTCTTTATCCCGTTAGGACATCTCTGCTAAGCTGAAGCTGTAAGAAATGACACAAACAGGAGAAGCTATTTCTGCTCTCCACCCCCAAATCACTTTTTAAGCAGTGTTGGCCTTTCCCCACAGGTACTCCCACTCATCATCCTCCTCATCTTTCACAAGAGGATGTCAATCCTTCCCTCAAGCTCAGCGTTTTTAAAGTATAGGGTTTTGCTCCTAACTGCAAAGCTCCACCAAGGCCTCCTCGGGGAGTGTAAGTACATGCTGTTCAATACCTTTCGCTGGCTTGGCCGGGAGACACAATATTAATGGAGGATTGACTGAAAGATATGAGGTTGGAACATTCCTCTAGGTACTCTAAAATCTGTCCCTGAATTAAAGGCTGTGCGACTGGTCCCTCAGAACTGCTCTTACTGACTTGCTGTGGCAGCATGCCGACAGCCGTTACTGAGGCTCAGAAATGAATGAAATGAAAAACAGCCCATGAAACGGCTTCCTGGAAAAGAATGGTTTAGGATGCACACATTGGTGAAATTTGTCTCTAGTCTCTGTATTGAAAAAAGTCAGTGCTTCTGAACAGTGAGGTGGTTCCTTATGGGCAGCGCAAACTATGCATCTGAGTGTCTTTCCCTGTTTGAAGTGGCTGCTCTCAGGCAGAGCCACATGTCCACTCTACTTAGACACATGTTAGTGTGTCTAAGCTCACTTGACTAGCTTGCTGTCATCTTCCCCTTTGCCTTACTTTTCTTACCATTGTTCATTTATCTCACTTCTTTGTAAGCCTCACTAAATCTTTTATGGAACAAAGCAAGTAAGAATAAATGAATTAGATTCCATATAAGCAAGAATTATTCCACAAATAAGGAAACATGCTGGGCTCATGAGAGAGACTTTAATCTTCAGGGTTGAAAATAAGCTTCATTATGCCAGTAAGGAAATACCCAGAGGTCAGGCTCACATAGAGATTTTAGACCTAGGACTTCTTTTTCTGTAGCATTTTATAAATGTAACATTTTGAAAATACAGGGATATTTAAAAGACTGAGAAACTTTTTCATATTATCCCTTTCTTTAATAAGAACAGGATTTCTTACACGTATACAATATAACTACAAGTTTAAATACCCATTAATATCTATGTAAGAAATATAATTTTTGGAATTCTGTCTGCAATTTTTTGGCCAAATGCCTGTTTTTAACATTATGAAGACTCAAATAGAACTATGAGGTAATAGTGTTTTTTTTAAAACATGAGAGAATATTTAAAAATTTAAATAATCTTCATGTAAAAAATTCTTTAAAAAAATCAATGAAAGACTCTCTTACAAAGGCCATTTTTCATTGATTTATCATTTATGACTTTCTTATTCCCGAAAAGAATCTGAGGGAACTCACAATAAAACTACATATACGTGTTTGTAGTATCAGATAAATGTAAAAGAGATCAAAGGCCAAGGAGAGAACACTTAACTGCATTCAGAAACTAAATCCAGCACTGATTTTCCTCACATCCAAAGCTAAGACAAAAGCAAAATGGTTATGTAGGTTTCAATTTTTAAGGGAAAAAAATACATATTTTTCCCATTGTAATCCTTATATCTAAAATGAAACCACAGAATTTTAAATCCTAAAAATTAATTTTATTCTTTAAATTGGAAAGAGATGTTGTCAGACAATATTTTAATATAGAATGTTTTGTCATTTTGTTTTGTTCTTTTTATGTGTTAGAATTAGGAAGTGTCTCAGCCAAAAGCTGCTTGAAATATATATGGAATCTGTGACGTGTCCTGCTGACTTAAAGTACTTCTATTTTTTGCAGTATACTCCTGATCACGTGGCAGGACCCGGAGCAGACACTGATCCCACTCAAATAACCTTTCCTGGATGCAGTTGTCTCCAAACTCCCTGCCTCCCTGGGACCTGCTCCTGTCTCCGTAACAAGGAGAACTACGATGCTAATTTACGCCTCAGGGCCATAGGATCGGAAACAGAGCGTGCCGAGCCGGTTTTTGAATGCAACATCCTGTGCCAGTGCAGTGACCAGTGCAAGAACAGGGTGGTCCAGCGGGGTCTGCAGTTCCACCTCCAGGTGTTCAAGACGGAGAAAAAGGGCTGGGGACTTCGCACCTTGGAATTTATACCAAAAGGACGGTTTGTCTGTGAATATGCTGGCGAGGTTTTAGGATTCGCTGAAGTACAGAGAAGAATTCAGTTACAAACAATACACGATTCGAATTACATTATAGCGGTCAGAGAACATGTTTATAATGGGCAGGTAATAGAAACATTTGTTGATCCTGCCCACATAGGAAATATTGGCAGGTTCCTTAACCATTCTTGTGAGCCAAACCTGTTGATGATTCCTGTCCGAATTGACTCAATGGTACCAAAATTGGCACTTTTTGCAGCCAAAGACATTTTGCCAGAAGAAGAGCTTTCTTATGACTATTCAGGAAGATTTCTTAATCTAATGGACAGCAAAAACAAAGAAAGACTAGGTAATGGGAAACCAAGAAAACCTTGTTATTGTGGTGCCAAATCGTGTGCTGCTTTCCTGCCTTATGACAGTTCACTGTACTGTCCCTCAGAAAAGCCAAACGTCAGTTAGGAAGGAACAGCATAGGAGAAACATGTCCGGCCTCGCTCAGTGGCTGAGAACGAGAAGGAACCGAGCATGCTTGGCCCAGCCCCTGCGGCTTCCCCTCTTACCAGAGACTTCTCCTGGAGGTACAGTTCTGCTCTGTGGTACGCAGCTGGCCCCTCACTCTAGGGGAGGCCCGTGATTGTCCAGCTCTGTCTCTGCCTGGCTGTGTAACTCAGGAATGTGGCAAAGATTACAAGTTGTCCAGCAGTACCTCCTCTCCCCTTCTGTAATGGAATTCCTAGTTTTTAACTGGGTACATGACCAGCCAGCTAAAAACTGGGCACTGTTCATGGTTAGATGTGGCTCAGGGATTATGTTCTAGCTAATGGGATATAAGCAAAAATGGTGTGTCCTTAAATGGAGATGTCCCTGTCTTATCCTCCTCTTTCTTCCTGTTGGCTGGAATGTATACATGATGGCTGGAGCTCGAGCATCCATCCTAGACCCCAAGATGACTTTGGAAAAAGAAGCCACACATAGCAAATCAACAAAATTGAAAGGAGTCTGAGCGCTACATACTGCGGAACACTCTCTCAGTGCTGATCTGACACCTCTGGACTTTAGCTGAGAAATAGTCTCTCCCTCATTTATGCCACTGTTATTTTGAGGTTTCTAGCATTAGCATTGAACCTAATCATAATGATCCAAGGAAACCTTGTGGCTGCATAGCTAAGCCCTGCTTTCCAGTCAATTTTATCAGTAATAAGACTGATAGTTTGATTTCTGTCTGTCTGACTCCTGCATCTCATTTCTCATTTGTTTCTAAACACAAATCAAGGAAAAGGGCATGACTATCACCTGTGAAAATCCTAATAATTACCACCAATAGTGAAAAATAGAACCATGAGAATGACTTCCATGTATATAACCAAGAGTCATAAAAGGAAACAAATTGTGAAATTTTCACTACACACTTGGCTATACTCTGAAGCTTGTGAATTTATGCTTCAAAACCTCAAACAGCCTCACTTACTCATGTATTAGTAACATAAAAATAACCCTGTCAACACCACAGAAGGGGGTGGGAGTTTTATAATGCCATTTAAACTTCTGGATAGGTAAACGTCTCTAGCTTCCTTAAAGTAAGGATGTTGCAAACACAAAGTTACTATGGAGGTTTATTAGACTTTTTGAAAGCTAAAATAATTATTTGGGCCCTATATTTATCTTTTAGTACCCTACGACCTGGAGACCCTGCACTTTAAAACTTATATCATAGGGACCCATATTATATATAACACTCCTGTATGATATCATAAGTAGGATAGTTGTACACTTTGAATGGAATGTATGGTATGTAAATTAGATCTCAGTAAAACTGTTAATAAGTATGCTAGGGTTTGCATTTTCATATAACATTATTATCTGGAAGGGTTCCATGTGAATAGAAGATGCTAGAGTGCTCATAAAATGGCCCAAACCACCAATGTGCAATGTCTAAAACAGAACAGATTTTTCTTCCAAACTAATCATTTCTCCCTCCCAAACTTCTTCTATAACTGATTTCTCTGAAGCAGTCCTGCTTTTTCTAAGGCAGCTTGTATCCCTCCTTTCAAAAGTCTTTTCCTCCTCACAGACTCTTGTAAGAACTAAGCTACTCCAGAAGCAATAAGGAGAGGGTCAGCAGGAAAATGAATGGCTCCCTGTTTGGTTCTACAGATACTCTTTCCTTCTTCCTTTGGCCCTTTCTCTATTGACTATCACTGTCTGTGAATCAGAGGTACAGAGGACAGCCTCCTTAGGAGGCATGGACGTGAGCAGCACCCTCCATCTTGGTGCCTCTGCCAGAGACAGAACTCAGTGAATATAGACCCTCGGAATGTTTTGTATTCATGCACAAGTTTATTCTTAAATAGCACATAGTCTTGGAAATCAGATTCCTAAGGTCAAAGTTGAAGACTCTATTTTTCCTAGGCACTAAGTTATAACTGCATTTACTTTATTGCCATGTTCTTAAGAATGTTAACAGTTCTACTTTTGAGAGCAAACATTAAACAATATACTTCTGCCTGACTATTATCCTAATATATAAATCTTTTACAATTATAAGTTACTATAAAATCAGAATTTTAGGGGCTGGCCCCGTGGCCGAGTGGTTTAGTTCACGTGCTCTGCTGCAGGCGGCCCAGTGCTTCGTTGGTTCGAATCCTGGGCGTGGACATGGCACTGCTCATCAAGCCACACTGAGGCAGCGTCCCACATGCCACAACTAGAAGGACCCACAATGAAGAATGTGCAACTATGTACCGGGGGGCTTTAGGGAGAAAAAGGAAAAAAATTAAAAAAAAAATCTTTAAAAAAAAAAATCGGAATTTTAAAAGATGCATGTATCTTGATGCAATTAAAACATTCATGAAAATTGGCTTTGAAGTCAATTTCCACTGACTTCATTAAGAATGTGAAAATGTGTACCTTGGAAACTGTTTGGGCCCAAGAATAATAAAGATCATACTTGGAGAACAAAGCTTTTCAAATCCTCTTTAAAGAAGGAATTTTTTAAATTTCAAATTAATATTCACAAAGTATCAGTGGCTGCTATTTGTTCTTGACTAAATGGAAAATTTTGCCTTAATTGAAATGAATATTCAGAGATTTTTTTCTTTTTTCCCCTTGTTTTCAATATTAAGCCCCAGTGCTGGCTAGCTCTGAAGCATAAGACAGGAGTGGATTTAGTTCAGCAACAGGAGACTAACTTGCATAGAACAGAGGATTTTATCTTAAACTCAGGAAGGTCTTATTTAAAAAAGGGGGGAAAATCCCCCCAAGTTGTTTTTATTCCCTTGAATGTTAAAATAGTGTTTTCTTTGTGTAACATGTTCCTAATTATATCTCTGCCACTCTCCAGGGTGTTAGTGTTGAGCAAGTTACTCAGCCACTCTGAGTCTGAATTCCCTTTTCTGGATGTAGCATTATTGGGCAGATCGAAGGAGTTAACACTTATAAAGCATTTAGAACAATGACTCAGCACTAGGATAACTATAATCAAAAAGACAATTGGGGCCAGCCCCATGGCATAGTGGTTAAGTTCAGCACGCTCAGCTTCGGCAGCCCGGGTTCATGGGTTTCGATCCCAGGCATAGACCTACACCACTCATCAGCAATGCTGTGGCAGCGACCCACATACAAAATAGAGGAAGACTGGCACAGATGTTAGCTCAGGGTGAATCTTCCTCAACAGCAACAACAAAGGAAACAATTACAAGTGTTGACAAGGAGGTGGCAAATTGGGAATCTTCACATATTACTAGTGGAGTTGTAAAATTGCACAAGTACTTTGTAAAGCCATTTGGTTAGTTCCTTAAAATGTTAAAGTAACCACATGTCCCAGTAAATCTGTTCCTAGGTATAGACCCAAGAGAAATGAAAAGATGTCCATACAAAAACTTTATGCAAATATTCATAGTGGCTTTATTCATAATAACCAAAAAGTAAACACAATCCAAATGTCCATCAACTGATGAATCAATAAACAAAATGTGGCATCTGTACCATGGAATATTATCCAGCCATAAAAAGGGATGGAGGGAAAATAAAAGCCGTGGCCACATGCCGCAACACAGATAAACCTTGAAAATATGCTAAATGAAAGAAGCCAGACATAAACTTTTACAGATTGTAGGATTCCTATTTATATGAAATATCCAGAATAGGCAATTCCGTAGAGACATAAAGTAAATTAATGGTTGCCAGGGGCTGGTGGAGAGGGAGGTATAGGAAAAGATTGCTAACGGGTACAGGGTTTCTTTTCAGCCTGAAGGAGTGTGTTTTATGTTACATGAATTCTATCTCCATAAAGCTATTCTAAGAAAAAGAAAGAAGACATGTGCCTCTCACTTGGAAACTGGTAACCTGCAGCTCTGAACATTGCTCTCAGGAATAACACTATTCAGTTCCCAGAGAAATGCTTCTCCACTTGCTTTAGGCCCTCGAAACACAACATGACTGTGCCCAATGCTGTGATCGTAGCCATTACCACCATCAGAGATGGACACTGCTTCCCAGTGCAGCGAGATTTTGAACATCAGAAGTTCTTAGTCTGCTAAAAACATAGATGAATTAACTAACTTGTCAGAGCCTTCCTCTCAGATAGCATGAATGCAAGTCTTGAATAACAAAGTATAGTTTCCAGGACCAGCCTGGTAGTATAGTAGTTAAGTTTGTGCGCTCCACTTGGGTGGCGCAGGGTTTGCAGGTTTGGATCCCGGGCACAGACCTACACACCACGCATTAAGTCATGCTGTGGCAGCATCCCACATACAAAATAGAGGAAGATTGGCACAGATGTTTGCTCAAGGCCAATCTTCCTCACCAAAGAAAAAATAACAAAGTATAGTTTCCTTGAGTGTTGAATGTCAATTTTCTTGTTTCTCTTTCTGTTCCAGTTTGTGGTTCCAGAGGTACTCAGGAATTAGCACAGTATTTATTACAGTTGCACATGGAGACAGAAATATTTTGCAATATTAAACAATTCATATTACTTTTAAAGTTGTAGATGTATGGGTCTAGAAGCTTGATATTGGTTCTTCACATGACCTCACACTACTTGGTTCTTCTCATTACACTACATTTAAGAGGTAATGAAAACGGCAATATAAGTGATAGCAGTTTATGTGATGAAATTAAAATATTCTGCAATAATAATTCATTCAATGTGATCTCATTACAATGTTTGAACATGATAAGTAAATTTCATGATTTATTTTCAACTCTGTCTCAGCAGAGTAAAGCTTTCTCAAACTGAAATTAATAAAAAAAAAAACTACCAGAGAGCTACACTGACTTAAGAAAGATGGTCTCATTTGGTATCATTGTTAACAGAACACCAACTATGTGAAAAATCTTGTTCATAACAAGACAATTTATGATTTTACTGAAAGGAAAACAAAAAAAATAGATTTTTTGGAATAAATATGTAATAATTTATGAATCAGATAGGTCGTTATTTTATTATCCATCCAAACATTTCCAGGTCAGTTGGATGCCCAGGCAGGAGCAAGGATAATTAAATTTAGTCATATTTGATATTCTGCCAACTTTTGGTCAAATAAAAACCCTAACTTTATACATGTTTTCCATTCTTGTGGTTATGAAAGACATTTTTGTCGAAGTAGGAAGATAACTTGACTTATAACTTTTAAATATTTCTAGATATTGCCTGTGGCTCTCCCGCAAGCTGTCCTGGCCTTGATGCTTACAAGGAAGGGAAGGAACTAGCTTCCCTGGCAAGGCTGTTATGGGACTCAAATAAAATAATGAATTTATGTAAGCTAAGTACCATATAAATTTAGTTATCATTACAGGCATATTTCTGGTTTTACACTGTGCTACACAGAACAGAACACACAGCATATCATCATAGAAGTTGTCTTTGGTTACATCGAGATTCATTTAGATTCAATCAGATTCTATATAATGGTAGGCCTTACTTGGTGGTAAAGGTTGTGGATGTATTAGAATAAGCTCCCGAAGGAGGTCTCTGAGTCATTTACATAAAAAGATACCTGTCTTTGATCATTTAAGTAGAGCCAAAATTATAAGCAGAATCTGAAGAATATCCTTGGAGTTCCCTTTTACCTTATGACTATTTGGGACTTCCCTGTGGTGATAGAAATCCTCCCTATTCTTGTGTAAATTGTTACTCAGCTAATAGCATTACTACCTCATTGCCCAAAGCTATGAGTCATCCCTAACTCTTCCTTCTCCTGCCCACAGCTAATCAATCACTAAGTCCTATAAATTCCTTGCCTTACACAACTCTCAAATCTGTTCCATTTTATTCACCCAATATCTTTTTATGCTGCGCTTCTATCATTTCTTCCCTGCACCAGCCTCTGCCTCCAGTCTTGGCATCTCCACATAGCATTCTCCACCTTTAAACCCCTCAGCAACATCTCATCAAATGAGGATGGAGCGCAAACCTCCTAACATGACCATAAGGCCCCTGCCTACCTCTCCACCTCATCTCTCACTCTTCTCTTTTATTTCTCTGAGGTCCACCTGGAAAAGCCAAGCTCTCTCATCCCTAGCCTTGACAGTGGTGTTCCCTTCTGGAAGAAGCATAAGGAGGCAGGTTGGTTAACTTTGCCTTCAGAGGGCATCAGAAGACGTAGGGGGTGAGGGGAGAAAGAGAGAGAGATGTTTTTACTTTAAATTGTTGTTACCCTTGCTTTCTTCGCAGAATACTCTGGATTTTCTTCATCCTGATGTCTTTCTTGGATATTGTTGGGATGTCTTATACTCCATCTTTTATGATACTTTGTTTACATGGCTGCTAGGCAGCTAAATTAACAAGAGAGCCAGCAACATATTCTATTTCCCTGTCTCTTCTTCCTGCCTTCCCTCCTTCTGTTTCTGTTTCTGGCTATCCATCACTTCCATCAGTCTGCTGTCTCCTTGTCCTCACTGCCACATACCTGTTGTTGAACAGGGAAAATACAAATTATGTGATCTCCTGGATAACCATCCCTGCCATGTACCACTTTGCTAACTTTTCTTAGTCCTCTGTTCCAGACATATTCAAGGTTCCCTGCTTATTAGTGCAGCCAATTACAAAGTGCTGATGCCACTAATTCCAGCCCCACATGTCCCACAGCCTCTGCTCACTATGGCCCCCTCTGACCAGCCCACACTCCACCCTCCCTCCACTTGTTGACCACTTTTGTCCTTTTTCCTAAACTGCCATCACCTTGAAGCATTTGTGTATAGTAAGTGGACACAGAAAACTGCTACCAAACGAATCTAAAACCTATTTCTCCTAGCTTGTATTTGAACATAATTGAATCCCCTTGAGTAGAGCTTCCATTTGCCCTCAAGGAGTTTTGCAAAGTGGGTTTGTTTTTGTTGTTTTTTTGGAAGTGTTTGCTTGCTTGCCAATCTGTTTCTCCTGTCTTCCCTTGAATGTAACCTCTTGAAAATACCTCTTTCCCCTGCCTGCTTTAGTAACCAACTCACCTCTTCCCCACCCCATCCCCAACCGTAGACTCATTGGTATACATCCTTAACTCTTTCGAAGGTGGAAATCAAGGACAGCTCAAAGACTAACCCTTGATCTTCAACAGACGTCAGACCCTCCCGCTATCCTAACTTGCCTTGCAAAACTTGCTCCCAATTTTTTGACTAGTTTAAAACAGTTTTAGCTACTAAATTGTTGACTATTTTGCCTAGTAAGAGTAATTTACAATAAATTAATATTTCCTATCACCATCCTTTCAGAAAGACAAGCCATTTTAACACAGAGAAGGGGGGCGCATAATCACTTAAAACCTCTCAGCAATTCTTAAAATGAAGTCAGTGTAGCTTATAAACAACATGACACCTTGCCCTCATGTTTTCTTTGCAAAGACCAGCACTTGGGAGGTAGTTCTGGTTGAGCCACCTGGTCACCTAGTCAATTCTGTTACTCATTCACTCACTCACCAATGTCTGTCAAGTATCTGGTACACGCTAGGTGGTGTGAAGTCAAGTCTCTAAACTTATGGTTCATTCAGCAATTGTTCCTGAGCACCTACTATGCTACATTCTAGAGAAATCCGGACCACAAGCAACCTGCATTCTCAAAGCATTCGTAAGCCAATAGGCAAAAACCCCAAAAAGTTAGAGTGAGAGGGTCCTAACTTAGGGTCCATGTACTATGCCATACTTTACCAAAACCCTTTACTTTAGTATGGGGGTGCAAACTTGGCATTTGTGTGATTCATTTGTGTCCAGCGCCCCTATTAGTCTGTAAACTCCTTGAGGACTGGGACCAGGTCTGCTTTTGCTCACCAGTGTCTCTCCAGCACTTAATGGGTATTGTTGAATGATTGAACTAATAAACATCAGTGTAATGAACCTGACATTACCTTTAGGATCAAGTCCAAACTCAACTGAAGCACCTTGATGCCTTCCGCAATCTACCTCTTCAGCAAAACCCCACTGCTCCCTTCTCATTCTATGATCTAGCCCATCTGGGTCACTCTCCATTTCCTAAAAAGGCTGAAGATAAATTTGGCTCATGCTGCTTTCCTCCCTCGGGACAATTCCCATCTCCAATCCTTCCACCCCTCCCTTCATTGCTTATTGACTTCTTTCCCACCTTTCTTTAAAGTCTCAACTCAAATCCCATTTCCTCTGTGCAGCACTGTGAGTAGGTTCCCTGGGAAGCATACTCTGAGAGGAAGGTTGGAGTGCAGGAAGATTGTTAACTGTTTGGAGTAACCCCTGTGGAATGGAAGGAAAGGAAGCAGACTGGGCAAAGGGAAAGTTGGGCTGCAATGAAATTTCAACAAAGATTGCAGCCAACCCACCGGGAGCTCTGAAGCTGAGGTGGCCTTTCAAGGTTTCTCTTCTCATTGTAGTGAGAGGTGGGGCTTTATATTCCTGCATCAACCAGTCATTGGAGGCAGACCGCCTCTGGAAAGGGGGCACAGTCTTGGGTGAGAGGGCTAACAACACTCCCAGCAGCTAAAGGAAGAAAGTCTTCAGTCCTTCGGGGGGTCTGGGCAGTGTACATAGTGTTCACTACACCAATGTTCTCAAATTCTAGCACCCATCCACATCATTCAGGGTTACTTGTTGAAACACGGATTGTTTGGCTCCAACTCCAGAGTTTTTGAGTTAGTGCATCTGGGGTGGGGCCCAGAGAAGTTACATTTCTAATAAGTTGCCAGGTGATGCTGATGCTGCTGAGCTGGGAACCACACTTTGAGGACCACTACACAATACACTGTAACCACGTAAAGCCCCAACCCATGTAATTTCTAACCATTCACATTGCACTTACCACTTGCCGCCTTGTGCTGTGTTATTTGTGTGTCTTTTTCTGAGTCACATTCTTTTGAGGGTGCAAAGCTCCATAGGCCATGTGGTGGTTTATGTTTGTTATGGACTGATGTTTGTGTCCCACCAGAATTCATACCTTGAAGCCTTAACCCCTAATGTGATGGTACTGGGAAGTGGAAGCTTTGGGTGATAATTAGGTCTAGATGAGGTCATGAGGGTGGGGCTCTCATGATGGAATTAGTGCCCTTATAGGAAGAGGAAAAGGTCTCTCTCCCTCACAAAAAAAGGAAAAGATCTCTCCCTCTCTTTCTCTCTCTCTCTCTCCACAATTTGCACCAGGTAAAGCCATGTGAGCACACAGGGAGAAGGCAGCTGTGTAGAAGCCAGAAAGAGAGTCTCACCAGACACTGATCCAGCCAGCACCTTGATCTTGGACTTCCCAGCCTCCAGAACTGTGGTAAGTTGTTATAGCAACCCAAGCTAACTGAGACAATATTCTTCATGAAAGTAAATGGAAAGCCACTAGTGGAGTTTGAACAGAATGGGGACGTGATCATATTTATATTTCAAAAAGAAATGACTGTAGTTGGGAGAACCAACTGAGGTTGGGGGACAGAGAGTTGTTGTCAGAGAGGATTCAGGTAGACCAGTTAGAAGATTGTTTATAGTGGCCCGGGGAAGATCTGCAGCTTGGACTATAGAAGATGGAGAGAAAGGGAGGGATTCAAGGGGAATCTGGGAGACAGTAGTGACAGGCCCTGGAGATGGACTAGCTGCGGGAGATGAGAGAGAGGAGAGGTCAAGAATGACGTTGCTGTTTCTGGCTTTGCAACTGGATGTGCTGAGGCACCATTTCCTGAACACTGCAAGAGAAACAGCTTGTAGGACACCAGGCTTTCAGATACAGAGTTCTGAAAAATTTGAGGGGGTTTGTCTATTTCCAAAAGTATCAAGTTGCACATGCTTAAAAAAAAACATAACGTTAACTTGCTTCATTTTTCTTCTTCCACATAAACTCGATTTTTCTGCACAATATTCCCAGCGTGAGGAGATGTATGTGCTGTAGCTTTTGCTTTCAGGAATGCTTCTTTGAATATTTGACCATCAAAAACCAATTTGAAGTCTCATAAGAGAACATCCTGTTCTGAACTTGCTGTACCCAAAAAAAGTGACAACAACACATGGGCTGGCGTTACTGCCATACAGTACATCAGCATCTTGCCAAGTTTGTTCTCCCACCTCAGACACAGCTCTGGCCATTCTGATGACAAGATAAAAAGGAGAATAATAAGAAGAATGACATAAAGGAGAATACGGTCAAACGGAGTAGCCGTTGCGATTCAATTCAAGCACGCCTCCTATCACGAAGCAGAGGTGCTTAGAACAATGATACTTCTGGGAGGTAAAGGGTATTTTGGTTTTTTAAAAGGAATTTGTTTCCCATTTAAATCAGTTTTTATTATTCTTTCCCATTAAAGTCAGTTTTTATTACTATTATTATTTTTGTAGAGAATATGTTCAAATGGTTTTAATTTTTATTTAATATGTTAGTGTTTAATATTTTGCGGAGTATATTTTAACATGAGAAGGTTGTAGAAAATGAATGTGCCTCATATTACCTTTATATTTGCTTCAAAAACATAAATAACATTCTGTAGTAACTTTTAGATCTAGGCTTTTATCCCACTTTGTGGTCTTTTCTTTTTTTTTTGAGAAGTAATTGACATATAACAATGTATAAGTTTAAGGTGTACAATGTGTTGATTTGATACACTTAAATACTGCAGTAGGATTATCACCATAGTGTTAGCTAACACCTCCATCACATCACATAATTACCATTTCCTTTTTGTGGTGAGAACATTTCAAATCTACTCTCTTAGCAACTTTGCAGTATACGATACAGTTCTGTTGACTATAATCACAATGCCGTGCACTAGCTCTCCAGAGTTTATTCATCTAAAGCCTAGACGTTAACTTTGAAGATTTAGGAGTCTTTTTCTTGTCCTGCTGTGAATGAATATATAGATTTTCTTTATTTTTTCATTATTATACCAAATAAAAATAAAGTTTTAAAAATTTCAGAAATTTTGGGGACTTAGAAGGCTAAAGCAAGGGAGACTTTTTGGCACCTGTTATTTGAAATGCTTTATGGTCTAACAAGCATTCATTAGGCATTTGTTACTGGACAGAGATCAAATGGATTCACTAACATTTTTAAAATTTTTATTTCCTTTAAAAAGACAATTTCTTTACCAATACACCTATACTTTTGTGGCTGGTTAGAAACCTTCTCCACCTCCCCCGACACTGCTACAAAACATCAAAGGTGATAACAAATGTTATTCACACTTTTTTTTAACTAAGAAGAAATTCAGTTGGGATTCTCCAATTGCAGTTTCGGCTTATTCATTTATAAACAGTGCCACTCTGAGGACGTATAAGGCAAAAAGTAATAATTTATCCCTTACAAAGCCAACTTGATTATAAGAGTCTTGCAAACATTATGGGACATAAAAGTTCCAAAGCTCCGAGTCCATACTCCAAAACTCATAGGTCCCAACAAAGCGAGCACTTGCCAAGGGTAAGGAAAAGGCCACACACCATCGAGAAGCTGCTAGCAGGCTGACTGTAGGTCCTCAGTTCCAGGGACTGTCAGAGACTCAGGTCATTTAGCCAACATTTATACAGCACTCATTACATACGAGATATTGTTTAGGTGCTTCAATACTACAGTAAGCTTTCTGTTGGTGTTGTTTTTTAAAGGTAATATAAAGCAAAAACTACTCAGTTTTATGTGGCTGGTTTCAATTTTGGGTTTACTTCACCCAGGGACCCCAGTCATAGAATTCTGGAGTGGAAGGGTCCTTAAAGATTGCAAAATGAGAGGTGGACAACAGGTCTATGCCAACGGAGGCGCACATATTTTTTAGTCTTGCCTTCCTCCCAACTGGTTTTATGTCATTCCAGAAGGGAGTCAAGAAATAGAGCCTAAAGCAGAAGCAGCACCCACTAGTGTTTCCAGTAACAGGGCCACCAAGGTGGGCACTCTAGTGACTCCTAGGAGCAACTCTCCCAATCTAAAGTCTCCAGGTAGAATTTTCCTGACAACCCTCCTCCTTTCCCCTTTAGGAGAGCTCAAGTAATTCAAGCTCTCAGCTTACAGATAATGCAAAAAAGCTCCCAAGAGGTAGGAGGCCCAAGAGCTCAGGGGGTGAAAATGAGGACTTTGAAAAGTATCTAATCTCAGGCCTCATTTTAGCTCTATTCACTTAGTCTTCTGAGGGCAGGGCTCAGGACTCAACAAGCCAGGCGAGGTCCAGGGACCAGCTCCGAAGACATCAATGGAGTAGGGGGATGGGGGAGAGGAGGCTGATGAGACTAGATAACATGTGAGGTTCCTGACCTTCAAACTATGATTTTTTAACTTTTTTAACTAAGAAGAAATTCCTGGTGAGGTCAGAAGCATCCCCAACCAAGCCATAAGTAGGAAAGGTCAGAATTATTAACTCAAAGAGAGGCTCCAGATCACCAAACCACAAGGACTATGACATGGTAATTACAGGCAGTTAAGAGATCACTGCGGGTTGTGGGCAGGGGTGGGGAGTGGAAACAATTTACTCCTGAAGACTGATTTCATTAACAGTAAGTCACTTTTGCAGACAGGAGTCATTTGCGATCAGGACTGGACCAATTAGCAGACCCCGGGGTACTATTTCAGCCACAGAGGGTGGGGGATGCTCTAGTGCTGAGGCCAGATGAAGACCTCAGGTTGATTTCCTTCATCTCCCCTGACAACGATCCATGAATTCTACAGAAGAATGTCCCCTATGCTGAGCTACCTTGGTTGTTCTCAGATTCATTTTAGACAAAAAACCATTGAAAAGCTGCAGATTCACCGTGCTTGGGAATGTAAACTGGTACAGCCTTGTTGGAGGGCTGTCAATATCCATCACAATTCAAAATACCCATATGCTCTGATACAGGTGTTAGACTCCCAGGAATTTATCCTACAGAAGTCTCTGCACAAACTGGTAAAGATAGAATCAGGTACAAATAGGTTTATTGAAACTTTTTTTTAACAGTAAAAACTGAAAATAGCCCAACTATTCATCAAAAGGGGAATGATTAAATTAATTGAACTTAATTAATTCTACTATTTTAAAAAGAGCTAGACCTATACAGCACTTTCATGAAGTGTACAAAATATATTAAGTGAATACTATTTATAGCATGATTCCATATTTTTTATAAAAACCAAATATAAGTTGTATATATTGTATATGATTTCTGTGTGTGTATATATGTTATTATTTATAAATCATCTGTATTCGATATATAACAATACACACATGTATAATATATGTTTGTAAATGCACAGAAAAAAGTCTGGAAAGATACACTAACTGTTGATAGTATTCACCTGCTGGCACAGATTCGGGAGAAGAATAGAACTCAAAGAATGAATGGCTTCTAAGGATACTTTGCATATTTTTTACAGTTTCTAGGTTTTAGCCTATACATTTTATTGCTCTTATAATTAAAAAAAAGGAAAAGAAAGAGTTTTCTAATGAAACTTGATGGATGGTCATGAATAAGATAATTATTAATAAAGGCAGTAGAAATTCAGAACATAATCAGAATAAAAAGATGAGAGATCCTTCCAGAGCCTCTCCTCCCTTCTGCAGGTTACATTCTCCGTCTCCATCTCCTCTCTAACAAGCTAGAGATTGGAATGAACAAATACTTCCGAACAATATTTTTCCTATGGAATAAAGGTTTGCATGCCCCTTTTCTATCCCCTCCTCCAGCCTTCCTAAATCCACAGTACCCCTAAATAAAGGTTCTCCAACTCTGGGGGTCATTTGTACAAAAGCAGCAAAAACCAAAAACAATCTGGCCACTAGAGGGGGAACATTACACATGAAACCATTTTAAGTTGGCACTTCATAGGAAAACATGCCCACAGATGGAGGTACAAGGGCTGGCTCCAAAAGAGATTGTCCAAAGCTAACAGCCCACAAGCAATAATCAGTGTGATTCAGCCTTTGGCTTGCCCAATATGTCCTGCAGCAAAAGGTTTCGTTAATAAATAGGAAATTACAAATGTGACTGTGGTTCTCATATTAGTGAGGTTTTTTCCTTCCCCGCTGAACTGAATATTTACAAATGGTCTGGAACAGAGGCAAATGTTGAGCTGGAAGCTGCCCTGAAACTGTGTCTTAAGAAACAATGCCCAGTTTTTAGTCCAGCAGCAGAGTTAGGAGAAGAGAGTGAGAAACTTTAGTCTAGATTCACAAAGACGAGGGGATTTAATCTTATCAAGGAAGCCTTCCCATGTGCCTTCTCAGAATGCTATTTAACAAGCATGAGGGACGCTATGCCTTTCGTTCTTCACACATGATCTCAGTTGTCTTTATCAGCTGTATTCTTTTCATGGATTCGAGCCTGGTACAAATGAGCTGATAACGCACCTTTTGATCTTCATTACTTCCAGCGGATGAATGTTTCCCATAAACCCAGCCTTCTCCCACCTCACCCCTAAAAAAAAAATCCTCTTCTTTATGGGAACGTAACCATTTTGTAAAAAGAAACAGCACATTCTGGGGAAACAAAGGATGTGATGAAATCACGCCTTTTGAAAATATGTAGTCTTAACCTTGGATATCTCATTACCATATTGGGAATAATTACGGCATCGACTTTCAAAGTTTGGAATGGATATAAAACAGGTCAAAGGTTTACACACACGTCACCCTATATGACCATTTTAACCCTCCTGACTCAATTCTACCTTTTCTAGAAGTACTTCCACTTAATTTTGAAAATCTGAAGAACAAATAGGTTTAGTAACTTGCCCCAAATCGCAATACCAGAAAGCAGTAGGACAAGAATTTAAAACCTAGACAGCCTGGCTCCAGAGTCCACGCTCTTAAGCAAGAGTCCATTCTACCTCCTGGCTCTTTGTCTTCTTTCTCCTGGAGGCTCTCTCTTGCCCCAGTAATCTCCCTCGTCAGTCCATCTGTCCTCACCCCAAACTCAAAATAAAACTGCGGGTTTAATGATATAGTAGACAGAACAGAAGTCACAAAAATGGTGTTGAGTCCTGGTTCTGCCTCGCTCCGCCGCGTCGCCTGGGCACCTTGCAAGCACTCTAAGTCCTGGTTTCCAAGAGCACACTGGAAATACCCAAAACAACCGGTTCCTCCAAGATTGCCTGCAGATTAAATTAGATCACGTACATAAAGCAGCCAGCACCGTGCCTGACTGACTAAGGGGTGCCCAAAATTGCTGGCTGGAAGACAAACCAGCTAAGAGAAGACGTAGAACAGTCACAATTTACAGCAAAAGGAAGACAAAATTCCCTAGGAGAAAGTGAGCTGTGTCATGAAAGTAACACTTTGACCCTTCTCACTGGCTTTATAATACACCCACCATCTGAGGGGGCGGACATTGGTGACATGCAGGGTCCCACCACCATGTCACTTTGAGCAGGG